CCCCCCCCCCCCTACCAGATCATGCTGGATCCATCCCTGATTACAAGACGGTGATGAGATGGAGTTCAACACAAATGGAACGCATTCACTCAGTTTTCTATTCGAATAAGGTCGCTGGGAACAGGTATAGTTCGATGACCATAAATTTCATCTCCCCGAAATATTTTCCCAGACTTGCAATGATGATGCAATAATATACCTTCAAGATGAGTTCCAGGAGCTCGTTTGATTTCTTTAATTTTTCCAACATTTTCTCAATATTTGTTACAGCCAATACGTGTGTATCCTGAACAAAATTCATTCAATGAAAGTTTAAGAAAATTGAACAAATTTTTATTTTGGTATATGTGTATAAGGAAAGACAGATCTTTAAAAATACCACTACAAGAATTCGAAAACTTCACTACAAAAAAGACGGGGACTGTTTGGGGTTAAAATGCCAGAGCGTTAAATATGTTTCATGCTCTTTTCTAACTGTTATTGTTATATCACGCACCTGTAATGCCTGCTTCATAAGTTCTCTCCAATGCTTATCCACTGTTGTGAATCGCCTAAAATATACAATACCATGAAAATGCGACACACTTATCTAATGACAGAAGGGCAACAAGAGATGTTTAACGACACTTATTGCTCTAATTGCTTGAAGTCTTAAACCTGGATGAAACGATGATAAGAGTTGATGAGAGTCGGCAGTCACACGACTTTGGTTAGTTGTTCTTAATGCTTTCCCAACACTATCATGTATTTTATTTAAGTTAAAACATAGTTGAAATGTCCCCCAAAACTGCCACTCTCATAAACTCTCATCCTATAGCTCGTTTGACACAGGCTTAATCACATCTTACCGTCCTTCTTCTGGCATCTGAGCCATGATATCAGGAGAACTGAAGATCGGTTCTAAATAAAGCCATGTCGCTTGTACTTTCAGCCATTCATCCAGGATTTCTTGAAGCAACATTAGTTTTGCCTCCCATTCTCTGAAACACAATGCAAGGTTTACGCTAACTGCATAAAATTCCCGTAAATATTACTGACCAAATGCAATCATTATAATGAACACGCATTTCGTTTCCCATAATACAACGTTAAATGACAAGAATTTTATAAATCCTATGCATTTGGTGAGGTGCCTACCCCCTGGGCACATATAACCTGAGTTATATTTATGACCCTTTGACCCTCCCTCCCCGCCCCCTCCTCCCGCAATTGTATGAGTCCTTATAAAGAAAATCATTTCACCAATATTTTCTCTGAGAACAAGTAATTCCACCATCCACACACATATGACATATTTCACACAACTTACTTAATTTCTGTTTCAAATGGTTTGATAAATGGCGAGCCTCTCATGGTTTGTGTTTTGACAATCTGATCGTCCAATAAGGTTTGAATTTCATCAATGGCTGACAAAATGTGAGTGCCAGATTCACGATATGCGATAAACATAAACACCATCTAGAAATGAAACGATATGCACGTTACATCATATAGAATACCGTGATTATGCAGTGCTTCACTGTAAATTGTAAAGCCAGACAATGATAGGTTTTGATACTTTCTGTGTGTGTTGGTGTTATGTAGTCAGGTGAATATGATGTTTGTGATGCTACTCTGAGTGTGCATCCACACCGGGCAAGCTGAACCACGGTGGGAATCGAACCCGCGACCTTTGGGATTACTAGTCCAATGCTCTGCCAACTGAGCTACGAGGTCAAGTCGGTTGTGTGTGTTGGTGTGTTACTCTTTGTGTGTGTTTGTTGAAGTGCCTATATCATGCATGGTTTTGGAGTTTGCATATCTCGAAAGTTTAGGGTATTTTAAGACACTTTGCAATATATTTTGTTATTGAAAAATTTCATCTTGATGGATTTTTTGGCTCTTAAAGTTACCGGACATGACGTCAAAAGGAGAATTGCAAATCACTTTTCCTTTGTATCATTGCAACAAAATTCTCCTTTTGACGTCATGTCCGGTAACTTTAAGAGCTAATAAATCCATGAAGATGAAATTTTTCAATAACAAAATATATTACAAAGTAAAGTGTCTTAAAATACCCTAAACTTTCGAGATATGCAAACTCCAAAACCATGATATAGGCACAGTTAGTTCTCAATAACCTTTTCTGAGGGCGTTCTGAAGGTCTAGCGCTCACCGAAAAGCCTTGTGGACGAAGTCGGGGAGGCTGAATCAAAATTTTGATTCTACTGATCAAACTTACATCATCCCATTCATGCATCATTTTCTCCATGGCTTTCTCCAGCGAGAATTCTTTGCCTGCCGCCTCGCTAATTCCTTCAAACTTTGTTAAATATGGTTCAAGTTTCATGTCCACCATCTTGGCAAGGTTCATGTCTTCGTCCGCTTTGATACTGTAGCCAATGATGTCGCTCATTTGTAGCCAATGACGGTCTCGTAGACCTGGATTAAACATCACCTGCACCAAAGGTATGTGGCCCTTGAATTCTTCTACTTTCGCTTTCATCTAGATATAAAAAATTATACATAATCAGAATCCAATGGTTTTGTATGACTACAAGAGGATGGATTTGTACTAACTTTTACAGCAATTGACTGTGCTTTGGGTACTTCGCCAAACTGTTTCTCAAGCTTGTACAAGCTACGCCAGAAATTTCCAGTTTCCTGATCCACCACATCGGGATCAAGTGAACCCCAAGGTCCTTCCATCCAATCCCTAAATAACAACACAAGTCCCATGTTACTCGCATGGGGCAAATAGCATGGTTTTTACTAGAAAGAGAGAGGAAATCTGCACGGAAAAATTTAGACAAAGATAATTTGTCTGATAACTTGTCTGTGTACTGAAACACAGTAGAGGCTCATCTCGTGCGTGTACCGTAGTTATGGCATACAAAATTCCTCTATCTATTCGTGGACGTCTGGTTACGTACAACATTTTTACAAACATACTTGTATTTGTTTTGAAATTCCACAGTAGTTTCATAAAGTTTACGAAATGGAGTGAGAGTATTCATGAGCTGTTGTCTCTGAGGGTAGGCTGTCACGTCCCAACCGAATGCTTCTTCTTCGTCGTTGAATGATTGCACCTGGGATTTAAAATAGTCTACATTAAAATATTGACGATAAAAGATGCCTGAACCTACTACGGAAACAAGCAACGAGTAAAATAGGGATATATTCACTGGGGTGTGGAATGTTTCTAATCAATCTGCACTATCACGGACCCTAGATTCTACCACTGGCTATTTCCTCTGAGCACTGCCTTAACACCCTCAGTAATAATACACCCTGTCATTGGGGCACCTTTCCAATAATTCTTGAACAAATTACTTACTTTATCAGCTGCTGTTTCGAGTCGTGTATGCAAAGCTTGAGACTTCTTCAAATATCGTCCAACTTCAGAAATATCTCCAAATGTCTATGATTAACAAAAAATTACATTACATTTCTTTTTAATTATAAGCTAAATTACCATTCGCATTACATGCTTTGTGTGATGTTACTCTGAGTGTATATCCACACCGGGCAAGCTTGAAAAATATGCCTGGCCACGGTGGGATTCGAACCTACGACCTTTGGAATACTAGCCAGCTTGGGCTAGTATTCCAAAGGTCGTAGGTTCGATTCCCACCGTGGCCAGGCATATTTTTCAAGCCTGCCCGGTGTGGATATACACTCAGAGTAACATCACACAAAGCATCTTATTCACCTGAGTACATTACACCAACACAGCAAATATTCACATTACAATTACCATTCAGACACTATTCAAACGATACCAACCTGAAATTCTTCCAGCTGTTTGGCATATCCATCGAGTTCTTCGACAAATCTTTCACGTCTCATCTATAAAAGGTTTAACTAGTTACTCACATCTTGTCAAATGGAATAGTAGGTGACGAAGAAGGCCCTAATACGACAAGGGGAAAGTCCTAAGATTCAAGCTACAATTTCGAGGTCGTTTTCGTATTTAAAACGTAAACAGCTGAAATTTTGAATCACAGTATACCTTTAAACTGTTCTCGTACTGTACACGATTCGCATTTGTAATTTGTTTGTGTTCCTCAAACACTTCATGCATTCTGAAATGCCACTGAAATACGTTGTTGTTCATACGCATGTCTGCCGGCGAAAAGGACGCATAATCAACCTGCAATAAAACACAAGTGATAAAGATCAGATGCTTAAAAACAATGGCGAAAATATCTCCGCATTCGAAAAAAGCAGATTGTGGTTTCCTCCTGTAGTAACACTAGAATAATAAAGGATGGCCCTAACTGAACCTTTAGATAGAACAGCTTAGCAGGCATTAAAATAGCGTGTTTTTTTGACACACTTTGTGTCCTTGTAAAAGGAAAATGTGTCCTTGTAAATTGGAAAGTGTGTACTGGGGACAGTGTACTCGGTATTGGGAATAAAGTCTGCCACACTTCCAAGTGATTGTTGTCATTGGCGTGGAGATAAAGTGTGTCCTTGTAAAAAATCCTTATTTTAATGCCTGCAGCTTAGAACTGATAGGGCTATCCACTACAAATAAAGTTAGGTTTACTGTAGTCTAAGTTTCTTTCTGCAGTAACACTAGAGCAATAGGAAGACCATGCACACTGGAACAGTCAATCAAAGAATTAAGCAGGCCAGTATTGAACATAACACTAACCAGAAACACCAATCTATTCTTCGCTTCAGACAATCGTTCTTCCAGCTCAAATATCGTCTCATTCTCAACCTTCTCAACGAATTTCTAAAAATATGGAAGAAAAACTTATTACTGCTAGCAGGGATGAAGTGATATTAGACTCTCAAGAAAATTTTGAAACATATGGGTGGTCAGATACATCTCAAAGTTACAAAAATGGTTATTGGATTTAGTAAGCCCCCCTCCCAAGATTGGTACTCCTCACCCTACAACACCCACCCTCAACCAACTCCATCCTTGGCTTACCATAAGTTCCATAAGATGCTCAGTGTTGGCTGGTGAAGTGAGAGCTTTCTCTGCAATCTTTTCGTATTCATCACACAGTCTGGAAAAAACAATGACTACAATGAAAACGACTTCCCTCAAACACATTAATAATTCACAAGCAAAATTAATAAACGTCCATATCCCCCTTGAATTTCTCTTTAAATACAAGTCCGTTTGGGTAGTAATATAACAAACTCGAAAGCTGTTTATTACCGGCGTATGAAATATTTCAAAGTACAAAACAAATTTCCAGTATTTTATATGCCGATAATAAACGCTTTACATAACACATTTGATAATAGTCATTACTTTAGCACGGTATATGTATTTTTGTCTACTTTCGTCCATCCAAATATATGTTTTTTACCTCTTGTTCAAGACCTGGTGATCTTTGATCATTCTCTGCAAAAGTTTACTTCGCAAACCATCAGCTCGCTTTGCTAAACCACGAATTAATTCATCACAATGCAGCTCAAACATCCCAACTTGGATAATCTAAAAAAAGTTTTATTTAGTCCACAAGGGAAAATACTCTCTAACTGGACGACCAGGAGATAGAGTATTACCTTTTGAGAATTGTATGTGATGTCATCAATTAACTCCGCATACTTGCCCACTTCCTGCAAACGAAAAAATAAAAAGTAAAAAAAATCCAAAAAAGCCGAGGATGACGTTAATACGACAGAAACAGCAATACAACATACCACAGCAAAACGATCGAAGTCATGACCTTCCAGTAGAAATCTTTCAACGTCAGCTTCGGCTTTCTTCGTCACCAAGTGAGAATATTTATCATATTTCTTTACGTGTTCTTGAGGACCTGCCATTTCCTTGTTGACCACGGCGCGAACCTAACCAGGTAGGAAAATTGAAAGAAGCGTGTCAGCAGTCATTCTACGGGAGAGCAGCGTTCCCTCATGGCGTCCACCCCACACACACACACACACCACCACCACTATGTCAATTCATCACGTTTACCTAAGCTACGTACCTTGGATTTTACATCTTCAAGGATTTCCTCCAAAATGACCGGTTTTAAAGTCGCTTTCTTATTGCCAGTCTAGAGTAATAGATGGATGGTAAAATGAAGACGTTCGACAAACAAACAAACAAACAAACAAACAAACAAACAAACAAACAAACAAACAAACAAACAAACAAACAAACAAACAAACAAACAAACAAACAAACAAACAAACAAAGATGAAAATCATAATTTTCTGTGAAAGTAAAGCCAGGAAAGATAATGTCACGATCTTTCTCAACGGCCAGATTATAATAGTATTTTTACCTGTAAACCACAAATAAATCATAAGGATTCTCTATTTATAATCACTCTGCCTGTTTTCAGTTCTAAACTGTTGTATTTCGGCTGTTGAGAAAGATCGTAACTCAATCTTTACGACCGTTACGACCATATGGAAACCAGGTTTAACGACCGTGCATTACTTACCCATTCCGAGTATAGTTTTGTTTCAACCCTTGGAACAATCGTGACTGCTTTCAACATGACATCGTACACATTGATCAGAACAATTTCAAAATCCTTGAAGTCAGGTTCAAATTTAATCAAATCACCATCAATCACGAGCCTCATAACAAATCCAGGATGTTCCAAAACTTTCGTTGAATCCTAGGACATCAAAATGTTCAAATATGATAAACTATACGCAAAATTGCCCCCATTTATGCTAGCTCATGCTATAGAAACGGATGGTGCATCTAAAACACATTCAACATTAAATTCATCCACTAAAAATCACTCTTCAAAATGTTAAAGATGCAGATGCTATTTCCGCAACACTAAATTTCATGTAGCACAGGGATGGATTTACAGGGGGCGGGGGGGGGGAGTGATATTTTTCATGATAAAGCAAAAAAATATCAGAGACAAAATGAGATACAGTAATTTGAGTAATAACATGATGATATGCGAACTGTTAACAACAATTACTATTCAAATACAGTAGTCAAGCAAGACTTTGCAGTAGCCATGCAAGTTGATGGGCGGGCGGCACACATGACCAACACAACTCGGCACCAGAGCTGGCAGAGTACTAATATCGTCCCTAACTGTCTGGAATGACAAACCTTGAATTACGTTAGGTGTTTACCTGAGGTGGACAAAAGAGGCTTGTGTAATCCTGGATTGAAAGCAATGCGAGACTCTGCAGTTGATTGGTCATCAGGACCGAGGCTGCGGTGAAGAATGCTTCAAGACGACGCGAATTCTGATTACTGGGCACCAATTTACGTTTATTTCCTTGATAGTAAATGTTCTGAACTTCGGGAAACCATCTGAAAAAGAGAAAGCGCGGGTGAACGGCGGGAGTTTCTTGTTGAAACTGTAAGTGGAACACAGTTTATATAATAACTACAGTGAAACACGCAATTTGATTGGTCAATCCTACACGAAGAATTAAAATAATATCAAAATGTCATTGTTTCACTGTAGTTATTTCATAAAACAATTACCAAATGGTTTTCCTAGCAGGATAGCGTGATCATGCACTTGGGATGTTGCTCGACTTTCGGAAAGCGTAAAAATACACTCGGCTGAGTATTTTTACGCTTTCCGGACGTCTCGCGACATCCCTCGTGCATGGATCACGCAATCCTGCACGGAAAACCATTCAGTATTCCTTTATTCTTGTTGAAACTGCATGTACTGTAAGTGCATGTACTTGGCATTCCCATGCAGTCTGATGGAACAGCCCAACATGTACAGTAAAAGTTTTGATTCTCTCTGTTGACAAGTGACAATGCAGTGTTTGCTACACAGTGTACTGTGAACTGGTTCAACAAGCCTATCACACGCACTTTTTAATCAAGGTTTCTCTGGCCAGTTCAATATGTTTCATCACAATGTTCTGGAACACAGCGAGCTCCAACGCCTCTGGACGGCGTTTAATGTCTTTCACATCAACCAATCGCAAAGAACTAAACATGGTAAAATAAAGTTAGTCAATGGATCATTTGCATTATAGACTAAATTTTGATCTAGACAAAAATTTCATCACAGCTTGAAAGAGCATCACAAAATTAGTAATATTCCAAAGTTTCGTTGCGAAATGTTGTAAAATGCGGATAATATAGCCATGCGAAGTTTGCCGTTTTTCAGTCATTTTGTATTACGCACGGGAAATTGACAGCCCAATCGGGTGTTGGGGCATCAATTTCCCATTTGTAATACAAAATGACTGAAAGTTGCAAATTTCGCAAGGCTATATTATCCGCATTTTACAACATTTCGCAACGAAACTTTGGAATATTACTAATTTTGTGATGCTCTTTCAAGCTGTGATGAAATTTTTGTCTAGATCAAAATTTAGTCTATAATGCAAATGGTCCATTGTGACAAGCGTAGCTCAAACTCATTAATAATTCATACAACCATATTGCTTTATTTTGCTCAGATGATAATACTGGATACCTGATGAAGTATATTGATGTCCTAGGACTGGATCAAAATTAATTCGCATCACTTTAAGTTGGGATATATTCGTACGAGATGTCATTTCAAATCCTCCAATTGACCATTTGCGTAATAGACTAAATTTTGAACTAAACAAGTCTAGACAAAAATTTCATCACAGCTTGAAGGAGCATCGCAAAATTAGTAATATTCCAAAGTTTCGTTGCAAAATGTTGTAAAATGCGAAAAATATAGCCTTGCAAAATTTGCAATTTTCAGTCATTTTAGATTACAAACGGGAAATCGAGGCTGTCAATTTCCGGTTTGTAATCTAAAATGACTGAAAATTGCAAATTTCGAAAGGCTATATTTTCCGCATTTTACATCATTTTGCAACGAAACTTTGGAATATTACTAATTTTGTGATGTTCTTTCAAGCTTTAATGAAATTTTTGTTGAGATCAAAATTTAGTCTATTACGCAAATGGTCAATTGAGACTGGACTAGATTTAAAGTCCTCGCATTTTGATCAAGTGCTCGGCTTTGCCTCGGACTTGAAATCTAGTCCAGTCCTCATAGTGGGATTTGAAACATTACGTAAACAAGCGTAGGTTGGTGTAATTGTAAGCAATTATACTGCAAGCCATCAATAGCCTGGGGCAAAGTCTTTCCTTACCCAAACGACTTGTACCATAGATCAAGTACACCAGACATTGTTGCGTTTGTAACAAACAGATCGTGTTCCATAGCGTGTCTGGCTGACAAATACGACTTGTTCCATGGTTTTGGCACTTGCGCAAGTCTGTGGAGAAAATAAGAGTCATTGTCCATATTAACACCTTCAATTTAAATGTAGACGTAACCTAGCTTAGTCCTAACCCCAACCTAAAACCCAACCCTAACCCAGAGTTGGTACACCTTGTCCCACTCAGAATTCCATGAGCTGGAATTCCGAGAATGGAAACACTGGTCAAACCTTCACGCGCGCTTATATAAAAACTGTCATCCACAATTTTCTCGCAGAAATACTTACTGTGATGTTTTTTTGTGCATGCAAAATTTTCATGCTGAATTCCCACGAGTAAAACTGATTTTCCAGGATGTCCAGACCTGGACTTTGACATATAGAAACTCTACGACTTTCCAGATTTTTCGTGACACGTACGAACCGCGCACGAAACTATACAAACCTCAATCCCAACCCTACCGCAAGCCTAATCCTAACCTTAATGGGAAGTCGTCCTTCAAACTTGAGAATCGATATGAATAAACTCCTTGACAATTGTCCAGTTCTTCCCAAAAGAACAGAAGAACAGTCATGACAACCTTTCCTGAAGCTTTCCGAAGTTTCAAAAATTAATATCAATTTCAGGTCCATATTTCAGTGAACTACGTGATCTTCTGTTTTGTCTTCAACTATCAGATAACTCGAGTTAGAAGTGATGCATGCACAATATCAGTTCATCTACACCCACTTAATATGCTAACACGCGCACGACTCCGTTTACAAACAACATGTGCAACAGTTTTTTTATTTAAATATATTTCATTCATTGGTTTAAAGTAAATGCTACTATGTCTGCAACAGCGTGGCGGTCACAGAATAGAGATCCTTGCAAGAAAGATCAAGGCTGGCAAATTGAAAGGTAAATGTAAAGTTTAAATGTGGAACAAATATAGACATGTATATCGCCTCATTTATCGAAAGATCAAGTTCTTGAACGGATGAAGTTCATTATATGAAATATTATTTGTCATTTCGAAACCTACAGTTCAGACTGGAAAGGGTATGAAGTTCCCGCACTGTAGAACCGGTCACTATTACAATTATAACCATGCTTTCAGCGAGAGTACAGGCAATGCGGCCCTCAATTTCGTACCCGCAATCTGCGATAATTTTCGCATGCAACGAACATGCAAGACGAAATTTTCATCAAGTGTTTTGTGCAAATAGCACGAGTACGCGACAAAATAACATCGTTTTTGGACTGCAATGTCAGAGAGAATGGCACTGTTCACATATAGAACCAATCATTCTCAAGTGAAAAAAAATCATGTATAACGCCATTAACATGATCATGGAAATCATATGGAAAACTTTGAAAATTTTTGTGGCTCATATAATGATCATATCCATGCCTACTTAAATTTAAAAGCTTTAACATAATTACTCTCGAGTCTTGCCATCAATCCCATCACGCATATATATTTCGGTCACGATGGCAACTAAATTCGTTTGCAATATTTAGGACTGCACCAAACGGTTTTCTGCGCAATGGCTTTCTTGCGAATAGAAGACAAAACCAAAAACCTGGAATTATCTCCGTATTTGTAAGCTGGGGTCAAACAAGCGACACTGCAGTTCTGACGATCGTCGCTGACTAGAAGACTATACAGAGTAACAGAGACAGAGAACAGCTGCACATAAACACTTACCGGTATAGTTGCAAGTTTATGACTTTTGTGAATTCCGTTTAACGTTATCTAATCTTTTCTGTTTATTTATCCATTTATACTGGATAGCTCTATCGATTCTGTCCAAAGACAAAGTATTGTCCCAAAAGGTTCAGTATAAGGGTTATCCCTTTTTGAACATGGGAAAATACCGAATATCGTTCGAAGGGACTAATACAGTAATAGAGATGGCCAGGGTTTTGCATTTATATTAATTTGGCAGTTTACTTTGTTGGGCGTAAACCTGTCGTAAACTTGCCTCGATTGAGCATAAATATTTATATTTTTTCCAACATTCTGCAACGAAAGTTTAATAACGAGATACTGTGACAAATAATTAACATTTTGCCACATATAACACAGTAACGACGTAAATTGTCTGTAAATGTTTGCATGTAAACAATTTAAGCGGGTTGGCATGCAGCTGTTCTATAAGCCTTTAGTGTTTAAGAGATCATCTAGAAGATATTAATCGGCAGTCATTACCTTTCACGCAACGTTATCTCCAAGTTGGGAAAGTAATTTAAAAATATAATGTTCTAAATCACGAACAATTAAGTCTATACATAAACCACAATACAAGCATACATGCATGTGTATTCCCAGATGGGGAAAAGCAAGATTCCCAGATACAAATGTATATAGCTTATAATATATATAGCTTATACACTTCACGTTTTTTTTATCAGCGATAAGCAAAAAGTATTATAGAGCTGAGCATGCGCAGTTAAGATCTGATTTTGCAAATGAAAATTTTCTTTTCGCGTGGCGATGTAGAACGTCACATGACGTATCTGGTAATTTCCTGTATTCTAAATGTACATGACGTCTGTTTGGTCTTAAATATATTATTTTATTAATTTTAGTGTTCAATTTTTTTATTTATTTTTTTTTTTTTTTTGAGCATAAGGTTGTCACAGGAGCATAAGGTTGTCAAAACACACACTATATTATAGTCGTTCTTCTAAATTAAAAATCAAATCTTGATTGCACTTTCTCCAAGGGGAGATATTAAAAGTGTTGATTTACACCAAGAAAGTTTACTCCATGATATAGCTTACACACTTCACTTTTTTTTCTCAGCGATAAGCAAAAAGTATTATAGATCATGCGCAGTTAAGGTCTGGTTTTGCAAATGAAAATTTTCTTTTCGCGTAGCGATGTAGACATGATGTAGACATGATCCGTAGACATGATCATGACATGATGTAGACATGATGTAGACATGATCATGTAGACATGATCCTGTATTCCAAATGCACATGCATGACGTCTTAATTATATTATTTTATTAATTTTAATGTTTAATTAAAGGCCACAGGAGCATAAAGTTGTCAAAATACACAATATATAGTGTTCCAAGATTAAAAATCAAATTTTGATTGCACTTTCTCCAAGAGAACATATTAAAAGTGTTGATTTACACCAAGACAGTTTACTCCAAAGGCATATATGAAAGCTGTATACGGTTTTATTAAATTTTGCAAGGTATAGGTCTGATAAATTTACATATGCACTTATATAATATAAATCGAACAGCTGAATGTACGTTAGCTAACAATATTTGTCGTCACGCAATCTATTTTAATATATGAATTTTAGAACTATACATGTGCATTAAAGTAACTGGATAGCTCTCTATCCGTTCTAAAACGTTCTCCCTAGAGGTCCAGTGAGGTGGTTCCAGTGCACAGGTGCAGCATTATTCCAAGAGGAAACCGCGGAGTATCTGGCGAAAACCTGCCGTGCTTGCATGGTAGCAGTCAAACTAGAAACACTCTTCTAACCTGAGGGGAAATTATAATTAAACAACTGTATATTGCAAGAGAGAGGCACAAATTACCGTGCCTCTAGTAACGTTTTGGTATAACCGAAAACATCATTACAGCAATTTCATTTTAATTCGTCGCCTAAATTACTCCCTTCAAAACATATTTCATCTTGTTTAATAAAACAATGCAATCGTGGGGCAGGCATGTAGTAAAACACTGACTACCAGAACACCGGAACACCGCCGGAACACCGCCGGAACACCACCTAACCCTAACCCCAACCCTAACCCCCAATCCTAACCCTAACCCCAACCCTAACCCCCAATCCTAACCCTAACCCCAAACCCTAACTCCAAACAAAATGGTTGTGTTCCGGTGGTGTTCCGGTAGTCAGTGTTTTACTACATGCCCGTGGGGCATCTTAACCGCATGCATTAAAGACTTTTGATATTATCAAACAAACGTAATTAAAATCTTTATGTTAAATCTCAGTTGTCTAAAAAATTAATGCATGCACCACGCACCATCGTTTTTGATCGCAACAAGACTTTTCGTCGATAACAACCAAAGAAATGTATCACTGAGGTCCGTTTTCTACTAGGCGGAATTTTCCGCGCGAAGCGGAATTTTTCTTTGTCTTGTGATTTCTCGAGTGGAACCAATTAGAAAAGACAAAGAGATATTCCGCTTCGCGCGCGAAAAAGCCGGTTTTCTGCTAGGCGGAATTTTCCGCGCGGAGCGGAAATTAATTCCACTCTCTCTCTCCACTTTCTAATTAATTCCACTCAAGAAATCACAAGAGAAAGAAAAATTCCGCTCCGCGCGCAAAATTCCGCCTAGTGGAAAACGGCCTTTATGTTGGTAAATTGAGCCAAAATTCCGTTATATAATTTTTTGACATACTTACTACATTAATATATGAATCGTTTGCAATTAAAAAAAAACACGCGAGTTTTTTCAATTGAATATCTCAAATTCAACTCGTCTTTCGGCTGTAAACGCAAAATGCCAGAAAAATGCAAATTTCTCCTTTAAAAAACCGCACAACGTTATAATTAAATGCAACTCTCCCAGCAAAGAAATGGCGAGTGCAATAAACAATATAAAAACAATATTTCATCAAAGGGATGCGCACAGGTTATTGAACTTGGCCAAATCGTGTTAATTAAATTTCAAGAGAAACCATTTATTTTACTTATTTTGACAGCCTTTTTTCTTGTTCATATTGAAATTGGACTGTATGCAATAAGTAGACGCACGTCACACACGCGCGTATATAGTAATGATGTGTTTAGCGCGGAACGACAAATTAGCGATGCAGGTGTAATTTGCGGTCATATATATATAAATATAAAAAATCAACTTTTGGCAGGTGACTTGTTTCTATGCAGTGAGTTTGCACTGAGGCAACTAAAACTCGCTCATTCGTCCAAGGAAAGACAGTCGTTTGGATAACCGAATTATTTTGTATCCTACTGACTAAAACTTGATATAGAAGGTACGCTGAATAAAGTCTATACTTGTCGTTAGAATATGAGCAAGTTTAAGTTTGTTTATTGCGGTGCAAACAAGATTTTAATATGCAGTATGTGTACAGTACAACAATATTAACTAACTTTGTTTACACTGGACTGCTACATCTGTTCCATCGTTCTCTCTAGTATGTAGATCCAGTAATGGCAGTATCCCTTATATATATATATACAACAGAACGAAATAGAACGAAAGGGTTTCCCTTACATACAAAAGAACCAAACTAAAGCTGTGTTTCCATATTAAATCGAGGTGAAATTATAATTATAATTATAGACAATACTGCATCTTAGGTTTGTAATCCAAGTGAGAATATATACATTTTAAGACCTAACCAGGAACGACTGCGAAAAATGCAGCACAAGGTCCTCGGGTAGGAATTGAACCTACGGCCCTGCGATTCCGGAGCAGCGCTGCAACCAACTGAGCTACAAAGGCCAGCTGTTGAGCTGTATAACAGTAAGTTCATGTATAAGTTATTCAAATACTGCATCTTGCATATTTTCGAACGTCGTTATAAAAAAAAATATTTGGGTAAGCTTTGCGTTGGTATACTACAATATTAATGTGTCGTATTTAAGGAAAATACGATGGAAATTACATATTTAAATTTGTTAACATAATTATCGATGCAAAACCAGTTCTGCTTGTAGTTGCTTGAATTTATTCCCAAAATAATTACTTCCTTCTCTTAACAAAACTAACCCGAAAATTCAAATTTATCTAGTTATAGACGGAATTGTTAGGTTCGTTAATCATTATCATTTAACAGTTTTTCCATATCAGCCTTCTTAGTTTTCGAAATATATTCATTTTGTTTGCCACGTAATTCGCATTCATTTTAGCCTGCGAACAGGCTCTCAAGCTGAACTTGAGAGCCTGTTCGCAGGCTACATTCAGTTCAATTACTTCAGTGACAAAACTATACTCAATGCTGATTGGTTGAGGACGAGCCTCTCGAAATAAAATTGTCTTTTTTAAATATGCAAATTGCACGTCTTTAGAAAGACAAGTTTGGTCTACCTTTTAACCCTTTAAGTGGCAAAGCGGATACTCTATTTAGGTTACATGTTCTGCGCGGATATCGCGTTTTCATAGAAAAACAAAAATCTAACATTGTGATGAAATCATTTTTGTCATATCACATAATACGATTACGCGTGCGCATTACAACAGAGCCATTGATATTTTTCGTTTTAAATTATGTGTCTTCTATTAAACAGGCTACTGGATGTTAAAGGCCCTTCAAAAATGTCCTGTTTTCCCGACCAATTGTAAATATTTACGTCTGTTTTTCGTCATCTTTTAGAAAAGCCCCCAAATAAGCCAAATCCTCAATTCTGAATTCCCAAGTACTATTATTAACAAAACTCTATACAAATATCTTTATGCTCTTTCTAGATATTTCTACTAAACGCCTTGACAGGTTATTGCACACGGACTTTGCATAAAAAAACAAAATTAAGTCCTATTCAAAAAGATTAATTGCATAACATTATACATTCATATCTGAACTAATATATTGTTCCTGCATGCATGTTTAATATAACTTTACGCGTTGAATGATGATTGAAATCGAAAAATCCGCTTAAATGCATAGCTTTTTTATGACTTGACGAAAATACAGAATATTACAGGCCAGTAGTATAGGAAGATCGTTTAAAATTTGGCTTGGGTGAAAATATCGAGTACTTCTTTATTGAAGGGTCTTTATTGAAGGGTCTACACAATTATATCAATATACATGTATACAAAAGACAGTCGGCTTGCATGTCTAATGCAAATTTGTTTAATTTGTTGCTATAGGATCTATTTGTACGGCTCTTGATATCGAAAACGAAGTCTAAGAAAGTGAAATACGCAGCGAAGAGCGAGTTTCATCTAATAATAACGAAGAGAATTATCTTTGAAACAACAGGCTGTCAGTGAAGATGGAACAGGACACGAATTTGACGAGTTTTGCGCGTTGCAATGGTTTATACATCACTTATTACTCAAGGTACCCTGCGGAAGGGGTCTATTTCGCCATAAACGTGTTTGTGATCATTGCTAACATTTCCCTGTCTGTGGTCGGAAGCGTCGCAAATGGAACGATAATTGCAGCATATTTTCGAAACAAACGTCTGCGGAACGAACACACTATGCTACTGTGCGTTCTCGCTTGCACGGACTTTACAATAACGGCTTTTTTACAGCCGTTATTCGTCATAACAAAATTTGGAAACTTGTTGGCAACATTTGATCCCTGTCTGCTGTGGAATATAAACAGCGTAATATCGTTTGTGTGTCTAAGCGTCTCCATGCTTAGCTTGGTGCTTATAAGTTTGGAGAGATTTGCCGTGCTTCATTACGCTTATCGTTACAAAATGATAGTCACCCGTCGTCGTATAAAGATTGCTGTATGTTGCGCATGGTTCTTAGTCTTAGCCATGGCGTGTTTGCACGTCATAATTCGTGTTCATCAAGTCACGTTTCTGTTCTACGCAGTCCTATCGTTGTTTTCCGTTGTGATTTGTCTCTCGCTTGGCATTTGGACTGAGAAACTGCTTCGCCACCACCGTAAGAGTATTAAACAAACTCAAACTGCTAATATGGACAAGGCTCAAATCAAAGCGCAAAAGAAACTCGCTCGTTCGACAAGAACTGCGTTCCTTATTGGTGCGACATTAGTGGCTTGTTATTTACCAGGCGTCGCAATGCTTGTGTATGAGGTGGTTTACGAAACTACAAATCCTGCTTTTTATTTGATAGTGCGGCCATGTGTGATCACTTTTATATACGTCAATTCTGCCCTAGATCCGTGTTTGGTGTTGTGGCGAAATCGCGATATACGTCAGACAGCCACACATATTTTTGACAGAGCTAAATGGGGAGGCTCCACTTCGTCGATGTAAAGGCCAGACACGGCAGAGAAGCCCAGCTAGGAAACTTTTTAATGCAGGGATCTTGCAGGTGGCAATGACAGTATATAGTTAGTCAAAACATGTATAGCGGCCGGTTGGACGAAAGCCAAATAACTTATTCACCAGATAGTGACTTTTATCACACTTTCTAAAATTGGCCGCATTCATTGGTATAACCGAGATTAAACTTTAGTATGTTAATATCATGATTGCGGGTATTCCCTTTGTTCTCGCAGGGCAATTAATAACTAATACACCTCATTATATTCATTTTTTCTAATCCTACCCGCTTTTACGTCAGGTCAGGTAGAATTAGTTGTAATCCTACCCGAAACGACGTCAAAGCGGGTACGATTAGAAAAAATGAATATAAATAAAGATATCTAAAATCACCAAAACTAAACAAAGACATGGAAAACAATTACTGTATACCATTTAATTTATACCATTATTTATTGTTAATTGGTTTTTAATGGCCCTGCGAGAACAACGGGAATACCCGCAATCATGATATTACAAGGTAATAGCATAGAAAGAGGCGAATTAGCAATTGAAAACGTCCCGCCCGATGAGGGTCGTTTAGTAAAATTCCCTTGGGCGCCGCTCGATTCGGGTCATTTAGTAAAATTCCATTTACTAAATGACCCTCATCAAGCGGCGCCCAAGGGAATTTTACTAAACGACCCTCATCGGGCGGGACGTTTTAATAGCTAATTCGCCTCTTTCTATGCTATTACTTATAAATATATTAACCCGTTGTGTATCCGCCCTACTTTATTATGTTACAGCTGTCTAACGCCAGACAATTTTACTCGTCAAGTGGAGAGCGTTGGAGCAAGGCCGGATTTTTGTGGAAATAGTGGGGGAAGTGGAAAAAATTAGGGGGGGGGGGGGGGCGGGGGTCTGG